TTTTAAACATTTTAACAGTTATTTAACATAACATGCATTAAATTTCTAATTCTCAAATACTATTAAGTATTTGTTACTCGTTTTATTTTGTGCTAAACAAATGTCTAGAAAAATGATGATAATAAATAAGGTAAATGTACTTACATGGTGTGAATCGTTACCTTTTAAAATTTTTGTTGGCGATTACCTCAAAAACTTACATAGAAACTTCTTCCTATAATGCTACGAGTTACTTGTATAGTCGGTGCGAGCCCAAGCCAGCACGACTGCACTCGGCGGAAAACAAAACGCCAATGAGGAAATAATTTTAAGAGTGGGAATCGTTCACACCGATCCCCACTCTCCTGCCAGGTGGTGCGATAGAGAGCGAGACAGTAGACGGATAGACAAGGATAGATATATAAACGGCGGAAACGGTAATGCCTATCTCAATACGTAAGCTTCGAATAACGGTCAAGTCAAATTAATAGAAATACAGTAAACATCCGACGTGATTACAAATAATGAATAATGAATAAACAAACGGTAGAAACAGTGATTTATCTTAAGGAATTTATTCCATAACCAGCCAGTTATGAAATCTATCTACTTAAAGATAATATATTACAACTTTCTATTCACGATAACAGTAACGATACTAAAGCAACATATAAAATAAAAATACCTTCTTACGCACATTTAAATTTTCAAGTCTCGCTGATCAATAATAATAAAATGAATTACCTAAGTATTTTATAACAAAACCTAAAATGTATCTCTATTACATAATATGATCATTTAAAAAGTTCTCTGATATGAAAAATCTGGTGAGCGGTGTTAGCACTCAGTTCCATTTACGAGTATATGGATTTATAGCTCCAGTTGAGTTTTATAAATCTATAGACAACGACTCTTAGAGCATTCACCATGGCCGTTCAGATAGCCGTGGCCTTAGGATTATGTTTAATGTTTTAAATACAATATAGATATTATTATCTTTTTAAATAAAAGCTCTTTAATACTTATTTCGATTACATTTATTTCAAGGCGAATTGAGTTCTTTAACTGGTAATGACGATTTCATCATTACTTTTTACACAAAAGCTTATCAAACAAACTTATTAATACAAATATATTTTTTTTTAATTTTTAACAATAATAATGTTCTATATCTTCCGATTATTTAGTTGAGTCCATATTAAAACAGTTCAAGGTCTTGCTAAGTGTTATTTATTTCAAATCTAAAGCAATTGAATGTTTTAGATTCACTGTATTGTTGATTATTGCGCAAATGCGTAAGAAGCAAACTCGGTTATCTAGTAGCACTTATTAACTGCGTCAATAACTTATGTGACATTGAAATAAAATTGCAATATAGGTTACAACTTACATACCATATTGGTTTTTACACATATTTTACATTACAATTATAAAATGTGATTTGTTTATTATTACGAATATTTTCTTATTTATAGGCTTTATAAAACGTGTATTATAAATAATTATTTAAGTATTCATTAATACTTTCTTAGATTTACGCGAATGTTTGACATTATTAAATAAAACTATCTTTTCGGATTATTTCGCGGATTTATTTTGATTTTTGGTTCCCGACGTTTCGAATGCTTTACAGCATCCATGGTCACGGGAGAGACTGGAGAGTTTTATTTAATAAGTATTCATTAGTTAAAATCTTTCTTTAATTTAAAAGTTCACAGACTTAATTAAAGATATACGTGATTTTATTAAAGTGATTAGCGTTTGTCTGCTACTGCCGATTTTATTTATGTAATTATAAGTTGCCCCTAAGAGTGATTTTAGATAGCCTTCTTCAATAAGTAGGTTATTCGAGTAAAAAGAATTTTTCAAACTGTAGGTATGCCATTTATAGAGATAAGCGCGTTCAAACAAACAGAAAAACAAACAAACTTGGCGGTTTCGTATATTATATTTACATATTTACTTCTTGAATTCTACGGTACTAGATATAAGATCAATATAAATTATAAATATTATTTATAAAATAAACTTAATAATATTTTATATAGTAAAAGCTTTCCGAGATAACTTTTAGGGTAACCACTGTTTAGTTTGATACGATATCTACAAATTTATCATTTTGCTTATCTGAAGCTAACGCAATCGTACCAGCCTACAACATTATGGCTGTCAAATTTTATTGTCCTGCTGTAAAATAATTAGATTTGTTTTTATGTTTATTATTTTCTAATAAATAGGTAGGTAATATTAAACTTTTGCATCAAACGAAATTTATCCCTAAAATATGGAGGGAGATAATCAATATTTGAAAAATATTTGAATAATATGTTTATTATTTCTGGTGTACCTAATACATGGCATATTTATTTTGCATCTGTATTATATATATTATAACACAAACTTCCATAGAATATATGCAGAACGCATTTTATAATTATTTATCTTTTTATTTATAGTTTATACATATAATAAAATTGTAACTAAGCCGAATTTGTACATTAAATATTTTGTGGAAAATCTTATTGAAATAGACATTATTATCGATACAGAGACCGAATCTATAATTTTTAGAATTTTTGTCTGTCTGTCTGTATGTTATGTCTGTCTGTTACAGCATCACAGAAAAACCACTGGAGGGATTTTGATAAAATTTTGTATGATGATAGTTAGTTATCCGGGTCAACATATAGGATACGTTTTACCGCGGGAAAATAACTCATTTCTGAGAAAAAAATACAAAAACTGCATTGTAAGAGTATTATACTAATACATATGTAAAACCTAAGAATTTGCTTTTTGATCATCTAAACGCAGGCGGAGCCGTGGGCAATGCTATTAAAATGATAAATTTCTTGATTTTGACCTTATCAATTATTATAATAATAATTAGAAAGGTAGAAAAGCCGCAAGGAAAAAAATATTATAATACTAGTAATTCTTAGAAAAATACCAACTGTAGCTGTTTATAGTAAAAAAGTGTTAGAAGCAGTAACAAAGATTGAGACGTTAACGAAACATTACTTTTAACTCTACCTTGAAGAATATAAATAGGAAAAGTAAGCAACCGCCCAATTATCTTTAAAATACATCGCATAGTTGTTTTTTTATAATATAACATAATTTGTAGGCATTATTCCTTTAATAAATACAATATAATTTTTATTAATAAGGCAATGTTAGTACATCTGTGCGAGGTCACTAGCTAGATTACGCTCTTATATGTTATCGCTCTCAAACAACAACATTCATGATTTACACTTGAATCTGCGGGTCGCATGATCGACGACCCATTTGTTGCTTAGGTACAATAATGCCTTTTAAAATAAAAATATATAAATAATATAAACAAAATTAAATTGCAGTGATATTATTTAAACAAAAACATTTAGATATTTGGTTACCTACAAAAAGTGAAATATTTATGTATTTAAATGTCAACATTAACACATTAGAGGACCAGTTAATTAACAGCCGTTTAAAAATACATTTGTATAGATCAGGCCCCATATATTTTGGTGATTTTGAAAGGTACAAACTAAAATAAAGGGCGAAAAACCACGAAATAACATGCTGTTACTTTTCACGGGACTTATACGACATGCATAAAATAGTCTATTTAAAAGACGATTTTAGGATAATTAAGTAAAAAACAAACATATCAGACATAATTTGTGTAGGATGTAGATAATAGACATATGTAACTGCCATAATTATTCCCAAGAAGGGTTGATGTCAGGCATGCGGTCGGTCGTAAAACTTTTGCTAATCCTTATCAGCAGTATTACAGAAGATGTACTGCGCCGACCCCAAGTGATTGGGAAATGGGCAGGGAGAAGAAGAAGAAGTAACTGCCATAATAAGACTATAAACTAACATTGCTTCCTTGTTGTCTATAAGTAATAGGTATAGATACACCTTTATTAAAAATAAATTACGTTTGATAGATGCTTTTAGTAAATAGGTATATCAAAAAGTGCACACTTTAAAAGTGCAATGCACTAAATAATCCACTAAAAAACACAAACATAGCTATGAAATTATTTCACAATTTTCAGTCATTCAAAAATAAAGAAACATTTATATAGGTAATATCGACATAAGCCTTATTCTATATCTTATCAAAGAGTCTGGTCTTAGGCAGTTTTGTTCGCTTTTCAATTATAATGAACTACTTATTTGTCCATGAAAAAACTTTACTACTAACGTCACCACGTGACGCGACTTAATGAATACATTGTGATCTTAGATTTTTGTTTGAACAACTGCCATTGTATTACGTTTTTGTCTTTTATAAGATAATAACTTTTAAGCAATTATTCGAATTACATAGAATAGTAACACTTAATTTTTATTATTAAATTATATATATTTTATTAATAAATTTAAATTTAATAATAGATACATAGTAAGTAGATGAGATATTTGATAACTATTTGAAATTTTCTGAAAAACATGATAAGCATTGAAAAACTCGATGTTTTTACATAGAGCTGAAGTACATTTCAAGTAAAAATATTTCTATAGTTCTCAAAACTAAAAAAGATTTAGACGTGAATTAATAAAATAAATTCCCATTAAAAATATCACAAACTGTTAAAAGCCTTCTAGAAATTAACATTAAATACTGCGCATTAGATGAATTATTATTACTCTAAGACATTGAACTCTATTATCATTTAAAATACGTACCTATTCATTATCATTTACACAAAATTAAGTATATTATATTATTTATTATATTAAGTATATGAAACATTATAAAAGTTATATTAATTTGTTGATAGCATATCCATTATAGGAAAATATTTTAATAGTATATAAGAATATTATATACAGCACATTATTTTCAATTTTCCTTATAGTTTGTCCATAAAAAGTAATATTTTACAAACATATTTCGAGCTATTAACACCTCATAACATAATATGTTTGCATATTTCTATATATTATATAAGATTCGTTTTTTATACATTTATAATTTAGATAAATATAAATTTGTAATTCTGATCGTAGAATTCACCATGGTGCAGCGAGTAGCTACAGACGAGCGTCCATTCGAATCGCCCTCGTCTGAAGAGAGCGGCTTGGGCCGAAGCGACTCTCCCAGCGATGATTCGGAGCCAGAAGCAGCATTGGTAAGTACTGCTAAATGCTATTATAACATAACTTTTTTTTAAATAATGGCTATGAACGTATCTGGCATGAGACACAACGTTAATAATTAAAACAGATAAGAAAAACTGTCAATTAAATGTCAAAAAAAATTAATTGCGACCAACCATTGAGAAAAGTCATCCAATGAGGCTTAGCAATATGCCTCCGCTATTTTTATATAATATGCTATGCCAATAGCATCTTATAAGCCGTATATAAATACAATTATAATTTTAATAGTTAGCTATCACATTTGTGTAGTTGTATCGGGATTTGAAAAAGTGCAATCAAGAAAATCTGGAGGCAAAAAAGCTGTTAGAATGCAAACAGATGCAATAGAAACAAAATCGGAATGTATAGAGGCCTGTAGCTGTGAATTTAAATAACACTACTTTAACAAATTCTAAGCAAGACACAAACATAATGATGAGTTAGAATTTATAAACTTACAAAAAACAAAATAAAAAATCAAAGATAAAATCTGTGATACATTTTCTTATTTAGTATTGACTACAATGAAAACTTCGGAAAATAATTTGAAAAGAAAAAGAAGATTACGTAAAATTGCAGAAAGAGTGATCAATGCTTTCCTGTTAGCTACAATTTCAATAGCGTTTACCGAAATTACTCTGACCTTAATTCTTCTTATTCTATAAAATTCAATTTTTGAAATGGCTTTGTATAACTTCTGGCGAAAAAGAAAACAGATCTTTAAGCGAGCTTTTTCATTTACAACTGAAGTCTTCTTGTGGTTCGCACTTATATTTGGTACTTATTTTCTCATAACATTCTAGAACTAACAACTCAGGAGCTACAACAAGTGTTTTTATGTTTTAATACGAGAAGCCAAACAAAACATCACAATAAAGAAAAATTAATAAGTTATTATGCTTCGAAAATAACTGTTTATATCATGTTGATTTGATCAAAGTAATTTAATAAAGAAATAATCCTACATTTTTTATTTTCTTTAAATGTTTTCCAGAAAGATGTGACATAAATAATACTCTACTTATTACGTAATATAGGTTATTTATTAGGTAATACGAGTTGATTGGTTAATACAAGTTGATATTTGGCACAGCGTAGAGTCAATATATACGCTGTCGATGTCAATAGCCCTTACAAGGAAAGCATATTTTCTTTAATAAAAAATATAATATCAAACATAATTTACGAAGATTAACTATATTTTTTACTGACATTTGCCGTACTGTGTTGCATTTTCAAGGTAAAAAGTAAGGAGATTTCCCATCCTATGATTGTGTACAATAGCTTTTTAGTTTTTATTATAAATGGAGTGGAAGCAAATAAAATTTTTAGTCAATATAAGTAATACTGCTGTAAAATAATAAATAAAGGGAAATATGTTCATACATAAGTAACTATATTATATAATTTTTTTTTCTTACTGGCTTAGAGTTGCCTTAACCGATGCAATACATTCTGCCAGTGTCACGTTTTGTGAGGAAGACACGAATGAGATTGAGCGGTAATTTTGAAATTTAGCAGGTTTAATGTGGATTCAAAATATAATTATTATTATTTGAGCGAATAATATAACTCAATATTGTTATGAAATATTTGACGTTTAAAGTTAAACACACTTTCGAGAAACACCATTATGAACACTTTCATAATTAATCTATGATTGTTAATAAAAATGTAATGTCAAGTTCAATAATTTCAATGGAATTCTTGAACTCATTACTCGATCAACTTTCAAAAACCACTTATTTAAAAAAATGTATTTAACATAATATATACAATTATCGTACACTATTTTATTTGTTGTAGGTATAGGATTTAAAATTATTTTATAATTTTTTACAAGCAATTTAACATAATATAATAATCTTAATTTTCCGATCGCATCTGACATGTTTTGAGCCATTAACAAAGAATTGAATTTAAAATCGATTAATATACTTAAAATAGTTTTTGTATGATATATAAGTTTTTTGTTTGATGTTGTATCAATCTAATCAAAAATGTATATTTTTTTAATTATTTGTTTTCTTTAGGTGGTTCCTCCAGACGGTGGTTGGGGCTGGGTAGTTGTAGCAGCGTCATTTATGTGTAATTTCGTCGTTGATGGTATTATTTTCTCAGGAGGAATGCTACTGACGCCGATACAAAAGGAATTCAACGTAAGTATCTTATTTTTCACTTTAAATATTTATATATGTATGTCCTAGCTAACAATGAAATAAAAAAGTTTTATGATTTATTTTTTATTTCATAGTATTTTTTTATATTATATAACTATGCGATAAACATTTACAAGTTGTAATTAAACTAATTTAAAAAATCTAATAACAATTTTTATATAAATCTAAAACTTGTTATAGTCGCAAAAACATTAATTCGTCTCGAAGCAATCGCACGTATTTTGCACACATGTACGACCACGCCCGCGCCGCGCGCGTCACAACCGTGCCCCCGACTTTAAACAATAAATAACTCACTCAATTTATTTACGACTTATACAACTTACAATACAAAAATGTCTTTAATAATAATGTGAAAATAAAAATCTGTTAAAAACAGACGTTTTTAGTTATTTTTTTATAAGGACTCAGTTTCACAGACAGTCGAAAGACATGCATGCATGCTTGAGTGATGTCATTGACGTCATAAGTTGAAATTTTTATCATTATATTTATTGATGGACAAACATAGATTTATCTTTAAAAATAATGTCGTATAGAAGCCACCATAAAAATACACCAAACCAATCTCTCCAATTCAATATAATATTTTAAATTGAATTATCTATGTAATGCTAATAAACCGATTAGAGAGAATGTTCTATATTTACTTACTATTAAAGTTACTAACATTAAATTTTACGTATAAAATATATATTATAAAATATGCTTATCAGAATAATAAGGAAAACCCGTCTCATCGACCAAATCCCAAAGCTATTCAAACCGGCAGAAAGGTCAACGGTTGAAAATTTTTGTTATTTTGTGACTAGCACTGCCCGTGGCTCTGCTCGTGTGGCAAGCGTTGGCAGGAATAAAAAGTTTATCTCGGTCCGTACTCCCTATGGATAGCAATCTACGTTCTTGCCAAATTTCACCGGTCAACATTTTAGATACTTTTTATCCCGGATAATTAGAGAGTAGTAAACTATAGTAACTTATAAAGCTTAGTACACACCAACTTATGCACCTAATTTAGTAAAATTTGGCATGGCGATACCTTATATTGCCAGTCAAACAATAGGCTACTTTTTATCCCGGAAAAATATACGGTTCCCGAGGGATAGATATGTTTTTGTTTTTCGCTAGTGAGCCGTTAGTTTATAATATAAGTAGGAGAATAATGAAAAAATAATCGTGGCAATTGTCCAAGGCTGAAGCAAAAAGTGGGTCATAATGGGAATGACTGCTCATTATCGAACGTTTGTAAATTGAATGATGGCAAATGCGTATGACTTTAGGTCTCGGTCATTGGTTCACTTTCGGATTGTTAAATTGAATCTAAAAATGAAACCCTATAAGCATGTGAAAATTATATTTCTTTTCTGTTATGTTATAACGTAAACTCCAGCTTTATTTATAATATGTATCACATATATGTACAGCAGCTTTTACATATTATATATGTCTAGGTATTTTTCTTTACATAATACATTTATATATAAGTGGTATTGAATGCTGATTCCATTAAAAAATAATATTATCAAAATAGATATTTATGTGTAACAGTGCTTCCAATAATAACACTACAATTTTAACCTACTACAAACCTACAGTTAAAATGTAACGTAAATTACTTAATCGATTCAACCCCGTTCAGATCTAATTGAATGAGACTAAAAAGGTTTTAAATAAGTCGAAGTAATTTTGATTACCGACCGTCACAACAATGACTAGTATTACCATAATGTTAAGGCCAAGGCCTCGACGCCGGCGTTATAAATTATGGACTCATTCATGTTTTGCGTTTGATATTTGGTAGCGTAATAGCGTAAGCATTATAGCTTTAACTTTATTGTACGTATCTCTAATACTTTGTTTTAATTATTGGTCGCATTTTAATTCAATAACCTTATATGTTATAATTAATTAATTACATGCTTTAGATTTTATGGATTAATTATATTTTATTAATTATCAAGATAAAACGAAAATCTTTTTGTCTGTTAATAATTTTAAACTATCATTATAGATTTATAAATAATAACTACATATGTGCGCTTAAGACAAAATTACTTTCGGATATCAATGAATGAATGAAATGCGGAAATTCTTTAGTGTATGTACTTAAGAATATTTTTTTTATTGAGAAATATTTATATCAACATATAACACAATATTATTATATGTTTTCCTTAAATATTCACATAAGATTAAGTTATATATTTTAAAAATATTTTAAATTAAAGCTTACCAAATAGTTAACTAAGTATACTAAACAAAAAGTAAATATAGAAAATATTTTTACCGCTACGGTTATATAAAGTCATATGTGAAATTGCATATACATAAAACATTTATGGAAGTTGTAAAGATTTACCTGTTACAAAAATCCAAGCATTGACGTCAAAATGCGGCGGGGCCACTTAATTATACAATTTACGCCACAGCGCCGCTTAATGCGTGGAAATATCCCGCGACGACGGACTTAGGGTTGCCCCTGACATGTAATAAGAAATGAAAGTAAATGTAAATGTATTGTAACGCATTCATAAGTTTAACTTTTCCATTAACATACATTCACTTAATAAATAAGATGTATCTAATTAGTGTATTAGAATTATTTACAAACTTCCCATTTATTTGACCTAGGTAAAATGAAATGAAAAAAAAAATCAATCAATCAAAACGTTTTGTATTTTTTCTTAGTAATAAAAATCAATTTGCTATTTACGAATTTCTATGACGCTTATAGATAATAATGTTGGAAAAGTACGATTAGATACTTTTGAGTGTCACGTTTGCTTTAACGTAAAGCTTTCGATTGGCGAAAGTGCAGTTACCCGGGTACATTAAACACAGAACAAAGTAACAAACCATGTGAGGGCAACGTACCGCCGGCCTCGAGACGCCATTCTTGCATTTTTGATCTGTATAGGTATAAGAGAATTCGTATGTATAACACCAGTTAATGATTAATGTAACGCGGGGTTTTTACAAACAACGGTGATCGCGGGGTATCGTGTCGGAACATGTACGATCCTGTAGGGCCGTGTTTCGTACGATCATATAGTTTAGGCGCCCGCGCCCCCCCGTCTCCCGCGAACGCGTGAGCGACGGCGTGGCTCGACCAGGCAGAGAGCCGCGAGCGCCGAACGAGTAAACATCTGTATCATAACGATCCTCCACGACTCTCATTTTCGCGCAGTTGTAAGATTTTATGTAATTTTTTGTGTAACTTCTATAACCATAAGTTTTCTTGTCAAACCTCAAGTGAAATAAATATATTTTAATAGACTGTTGTATACCTATTAAACTGGCGCCCATACTAGTGGCTCGAACTTTTAAACTTATATACTAGTGCGTGAAGATGCCTATGACGAGGAGAGGGGAAACGCTTCGGCAGCAGCGAGGGGATGATGCCGCAGAGGGAGAGGAGAGCACCATCGAGCACGGCCACGTGGACGGAGCTGCGCGAGCCGGCTCGATACAGCAACCAGCACCCCAGCTCCCCGAACACTTCCTATCCGCGCTGATGGAAACGATCACGCGTGCGCAAGTGGAAGCAAATAGAAGCCTTATCAATTCTCTGATGACGTCCAGCAGTGAATTTAGGGCCTCCACCCCAGTCGTGGCCTCTCAAACAAATAATATGAACAGCGGGAGTGGTACTGCTGCCAGCGTCGCGAGTGTCGACGCAAATTTTACTAAGTGCACAGCGCGGTTCAACGGGTCGTCCCAGGACGCCGAGGTATTAGAAGCGTTCCTGGATGCCGTCGAGATATTTAAGGAGTGTGCGGCCGTGAGTGACGAGCTCGCACTCCGCGGATTGCCGATGTTGCTGGAGGGTGAAGCGGCAGTATGGTGGCGCGGCGTTAAGGCGTCGGTGACTACATGGGCGGACGCGGTCGCCCGCCTACGCGCGGCGTATGGCGTGGCGCAGCCCGCGCATCAGATCCTACGGCAGATCTTCGCGACGGAGCAGCAAGAAGTAGAACGCGCTGAGTCGTTTTTGTGTAAAGTGCGAGCGTTAATTGCAAAGTTACCGTATAAGCTCGATGAAATAGTGCAAGTTGATATTTGTTACGGGTTATTACACCGACGTATTGTTAAAAGAGTTTCCCGCGATAATGTTCGTAATTTAGATGACTTAATGTATAAAACGAGGATCGCGGAGGATATGTATAAAACTCTTAAGGTAAATAAGGATAACAATAATAGTAATAATTGTAAAAACGCGATTTCACGAACATCAGTCACTACTACCGGTCGCGATCTCACTCGATCGAGTTTTGATAGTACGAACGCGATCACTCCGCATAGTAATAAAAACAATAGGCCCCGATGTAGTTATTGTAAATTATTTGGGCATATTAGTGAAGAATGTCGCAATCGTGAGAAGGTTATTAACAATAATAATAATGATAAACGTTTGTATAGCGATAGCACGCGTATGGGTATACGTTGTTATGGTTGTGGCAAGGAAGGTGTCGTGAGGTCGAAATGTGATATTTGTGTGAAAACTTTAACGAATTCGGATGGTAAAACTTCGTTCAATAATTTGGATGTAGATTTTAATAATCACGATAATTGCGTTAATAATAATAATAGTAGTATAAGTAATACAAGTGCGTCATGTATTAAGTTAACTAACGTGAGTACGCGTGAATCGTATCCTATGGTTAATATATCCATTATGGGTCGTACCGGAGTGGCGATAGTTGATACGGGCGCTACGCATAGTATTGCGAGTCCTTTATTATATAAAATTTTAGTAGACTTGGGAGTACACTTTAGTAAAGTTAAACGATTTGTACACCTGGCTGACGGTACACAAGGATGGAGAGACTTGTTGACGGCCGAGGTAGGTATAGATATCGAAGGCCATAGTGTAATGTGTCAATTACTAGTGTTGCCAGGTTGTGACACTAGAACACTTCTAGGTATAGATTTCTTGTCTCGGGCCGGAATGGTAATAAATGTTGCCCATCGCACTTGGA